GCTCAGGGCTCCTTGAGTTCAGTGTCTAGTACAGGGGTGGAGGGACCCAGCATCTGTCATTATCAGGGAGAGATAATACCATGAAGATTTGAGTAAATATCCCTTTTCAGGTTTAGGGCTTGCTTTTCTAAACATATAGTCACCCCTCCTTTTAAAATTCCACAAGGGGCCTCTTTCTTTCTTTCCAGGCCTATTCTGTTGATCTTGCTGTTCTGAGCTCCAGCTGATACAGCCCCCTCCCCAGCCGGCCCAGGTGGGAAGGTGAAGCCAGGAGTTCTCTCCAGAGCTTGTGTGTGTTGGGGTGAACCAGGTGGAACCTGGGCTGAAGCTCCCCTTCCAGGTTTGGCCTTCCAGGTGAGGCCATTCACCGCAGCCCCTCCCCAAGGGAGCTTGAAAGTACCATCTGTCCTGGCTCTTGTCCTGTGAGGGCTGGATGGGGACAAGGTCTTGTGCAGTAGGGCAAACCGCCCCTCATTAGGCCTGTTTGTTTAAGTGGGCAGGGATGGGTTTGGGAGGAACAACACGATTTTTGTTAGTGTTCATTGGAAGTTTTAGGACCAGTGAGTTTGGAGAGAAGTCCCCAGATGTAGAAAGCAGGAGGGGTTTGGGGGAAGAAGGTGATGCCTGGAGGGTCCCTTAAATACCTAAGCATGGGAGCAGCAGGCTGGGAATGATTGAAGGCCTGGCTGAAGGCAAAGGACCCAAGGCTTAATGCCTGGCCTGCTGCAGAAATATGAGCAGGCTGTCAACAGGGCCCCAAGTTTATGCAAGAAGCTAGTAATTTATATATATGAATTGAATTCCTGATTCTATAAATGCTGGCAACTAATTAAAGGAATTAAACCACTGTTTGGGTCAGAGTATGATGGAAAGCTACGGGTGTGCAACTTTGTCTTTACAGTTCTAGGGACTGAACCCAGGGCCTTTGCACGAAGCTACATCTTCAGCCCACTTATTCACTCATTCATTCATTCACTTATTCATTTCCAGCTGGGCATCGTGGTGCATGCCTGTAACCTCACCACCCAGGAGGCTGAGGGAGGATGAGCACCATTGAGTTTGAGACCAGCCTGGGCTTTAGAGTGAGTTCAAATCCAGACTGAACTACACAGAGAGACCCTGGCCTGCTACCTACTCCTGATGCAGGGGCTCCCCCGACCAGTTCCCAACTGCACAACTGCACGGTCGCCACCCACCCGCCTTTCCACACCCTTCACAGGGCTCTGAGAGACAAATGGCGCAGGTGCTGCTCCCTAAAGAAAGGAGATCCGTGGTCCCTGCTGCCCATTTCCGCTATCATTTTGTTTGGTGTGGGACTCTCACACCCATGTCCATGTGCACCTACTCATGTTTTCCCAATTATTCTAGTACACATGACATAACATTTATACTGTATTTCTCCTTGGCACTAATTCAAGTTCCTTACTCCCCACTTATCTTGATTCTTTCTTTTTCTTTAAAGCATTTTTTGAAAGATGTATTGGCACATTTTAGATACCCAGGATGATAACACGCACAGGGAATTTGCACCTGTGCATGATATATCCTGCCTCTTCTTTTTTCCCATCCCCCTGACCCCCTCCTCTCCCTATATACAAAAGCTTTGTTTCCATTTTTTCCTTCTGCACCAGTCTGCACTCCCACCAACAGTGGACAAGGGTTCCTTTTGCCCCACAGCCCCTCCAGCATTTGCTATTGGTGATTTCTTTCTTTCTTTCTTTTTTTTTTTTTTTGGTACTGAGGATCGAACTTGGGACCTTGTGCTTTCAAGGCAGGCGCTGGGACCACTGAGCTAAATCCCCAGCCCACTTGGGTTGCTACTGTGAATAATGGCGTTGTGAATATGAGTGCACATGTATCTCTCCTCATAGACCTTGTTTGCCTACTTAATACTTCTTGCCTGAAGCCATTTCTCAACCTTCTTAATCTCCCTGGCTTGACCAGCCTCTGCTTCTTTCCAACAGCCAGCTCTTGGATACTTAGTATCCACAGCAGGGTCCAGCATAGGGAACAACCGGGGTGAGCAGGAGCCAGTCAGTCCCTGTTGCAAGGAGCCTGGACAGATGTGGGGAGGCACGGTGACTTGGCTCCGCTGTGTGCGGCACATCACGAGTGCACGGGGAGGACAGGGCAGCTGTGAACTTTGGCTAGAAAGCAGGGGAGAAGTTTTTGAGCTGGTCATAGGGTAAAGGAGGATCTTTCCAGGGCCAAAGGGATATTTGAGGTAGAGGCAACTGGCAAAGCAGGGTGGCAGGCAAGAGACTTCTAAGAATCATTTGGGTGTGGACAGAGCAGAAGGCACCCGGGGAAGTCCCAGGGACCAAATTGTTACAGTATTTGCATCCACGCTGCTTGCATTCCAGAGGATAACTCCGGGAGAGCAGGCTGCATCTCGGCCTTAATGCTTAGAGCCTGGCACCTGGCTGAACATGAACTTCCAGTAAACCCCTCACAGGAAGACACAGCACGCAGTCGTGGTGAGAGCTCCTCCTAGCGGCCGCTACAAGCTCCCACTTCCTCCCTCCAGAGTGATACGATGAGGCTTTGCCTGGCATTATCTCACGTGATCTCCGCCCCTTCCCGAGAGGAGAGGATGCTCACTCCAGGCCAGCAAACACTAAGCATTTACTCTATATGGATTACTTTTTTTTTTTTTTGGTACCGGGGATTGAACTCAGGACCTTGCGCTTGCAAGACGGGCGGTAGAACCACTGAGCTAAATCCCCAGCCCCTCTATATGGATCACTTTTATGGGCGTTGGAATGGCGTTTGAACTATTAATCACCCAGCTCCAGAAGTGCTTCGAGAGAACCAAGAATGAAAGCAGGAGAGAGACCAGAGAGGATGGGCGAGTGCCGGGCAAAGGTTAGGAAGGAGAATACAGCCACCTGTGGAAGGGGTCAGAGAATGAGCTCCACCCCTGCCTGCTGCCCACCTAATATTTGTTGAGCAACTAGTATTAACTGAGGTCATGGCTGGGTGTGGTGGCGCACCGCTATGATCCCAGCACTTGGGAGGCTGAAGCAGGAGGATTGCCGTGAGGCCAGCCTGGGCTACATAGTGAGTTTAAGGTCAGCCTGCCCTACACTTTGAGATTCTGCAAAAAAACCCAAAAAACAAAAACACCCTGAGGTCACAGGGGTACATGAGGTGCTGGAGATCAGCTCACAACCTGGCAGGGAGACAGATATGGACACAAAAGAAGGTGCCCCGTGTGCAGGGTCCTGCTGGCAGGCAGGGGTGTGAACCAGGGAGGGCCAGCCTGCTGGTGCTCTCCAAGTGCAGGACTTTGAAGCTGGGCTGAGGGATGAGAATGGGGAGGTGGTCTAGGCAGACAGCAGTGGTAGAGAGGCAGTCACACCGCACAGGTGTGCGCAGCTGTGCAGCCGTGTACTTGAGGCTTCACACGTGCACTCTCCTGTCGCTCCCACTGGAGTTGCTGGCAGGCAGCCCCTACTTCTCCTGGAAGATTAGGCTGTGGCGCTGCACTGTTAGGGGCTGGATCCAGTCCTCCTAAACCTGCTCCAGTTCCTTGGGAACTCACCTGAACATTTCTGTACCTGGAAAATAGGGATAATAATAGTACCTTTGGGTACTATCCCAGGGTCTGTACTGAGCCAAACTGAGACATGTGAAGAATTCCAATAACGCCTCCCAGGTAACTGATGATACTAAAAATCTAATGATCAGCAGTGCCTAGCACATAGAAGTTCAATGTAGTTTGTGGAATAAATTAAAAATATAATGAAAAGGACTGGGGATTTAGCTCATTGGTGCTGCCGCCTGCCTCACAAGTGCAAGGTCCTGAGTTTGATCCCCAGTACCAAAAAAAAAAAAAAATTAAAAGTATGATTAATATAATTAAAAGTATAATTCTAGCCAGCTGTGGTGGCACACACCTGTAATCCTAGCACTCTGGCAGGACGAGGCAGGAGGATTTCAAGTTTGAACCAAGCCTGGGGAACTTAGTCTTTTCTCAAAAAAAAAGGGGGGGGGGAACCAAGATACATCATGTAAAGGCACAAATTCCCAATGATGAGTGTCATCATGTTGTATGCCTAAAATGTACCAATAAACTTAATGAATAAAAGGCAGGGGACTGGGGATGTAGGTCAGTGCAAAGACCCTGGGTTCAGTTACCAGCAACACACACACACACACACACACACACACACACACACACAATTATGGCGGGGGGTAGACAGGGTAAGTGGCTTAAACGAATGGAGGGGAGTGGGTTGGTGTGGTCCTTCAAATAATAGCTGCTGAGCAGGAGCCCAGAGCCTGGTGAGGAGCTGCATTCCTGTGAAGCCAGGGCTTCTGAGGGTGTGCAGGGTGGCAGCTGGTGACCTGGGTTGAATGAGGTGGAGATAAGGGCCAGAGTTTGCCAGGCATGGTAGCACACACCTGGTAATCCCAGCTACTTGGAGGCAGAAGCAGAATTGCAAGTTTGAGGCCAGCCTGGGCAATTTAGTGAAAATCTCAAAATAAAAAAGACTAGGGGCTGGGGATTTAGCTCAGTGGTGCCTTGCCTGTCTCGAAAGCACAATCCTGAGTTCAATCCCCGGTACTAGGGGGCAGGGGGAAAGTAAAAATAAAAGCTAGGGATATAGCTCAGTGCAAAGGCCCTACGTTCAATCCCAGTACTGGGACTGGGGATGGGGGTGTAAAGAGCCAGGGTTCCAGTCTGTGCATTCCCTACCTCCAGCTGCGGGGAGGCTAAGACCTGTCCCAGCTACTGAGCAGGTTTGCTGAGAGGCTCAAACCTTAAGTCTCTCTATTGCCCAGCTGCACTGGGCTTCACCCAACCCCTGCTCCCAGGGACCTCTCACCGATTCTCTCCAGTGGTCAAACCTGACACCTCCACCCTCAGGACCAGGGCAGTTTCGGGAGAGGTGGGAAAACCTGACAAACAGGGTGGCCAGAGCCAGAACTGGTTAGATGGGCACTCTCATCTCCCCAGAGTAACCTCATCCCAAAGGCAGAAACCCCACAAAACAAACCATTTCATTTTATTTATTTTTGCAGAGCTGGGGACTGAACACCCAGGGCCTCGTGTGTGCTAGGCAAAGCACTTTGTGTGCCAACCTGCACCCCCAGCTTCATACACCTCTTTTTTGCATGGAGTGCACAGGACCTGGGAAGCTGAGGAAGGGCTGGGATAAGATGTTGGGGAGCCCTGGGGCCAGGGAGTGGAGGATGCAGGATGTAGCTGGGCTCTTCCAGCTCTCACTACTTATCTAGGCTAGGCTAGGGCTGGTTACAGGCAAACAGCTCAATCTTAGGAAAGGAGGAAGACAGCCAGCTTCCGATCCTCTCACCCCCCAGACATTAAATAAAGACAAAGCATCCCCTCTCCAGTGCTGGGAATTGAACCCAGTGCCTCAGGCATGCTACGCACACATACTCTACCACTGAGTTTTGTCCCCAGCACCCCAAAAGCAGTTCTTTACAGCATGAACTACACAGGGAGTCCTCCCTCCCACCCCTGCACTGTGCAGAGTTGAAGGGCAGCTGTGGCAGACAGGGTTGGTTTCCAACACCACCCCAGCTCTTTCCCCAGAGCCAGAGGGTGGCGGCAGGCAGTTTTGAACACAACAAAAACCCAGCTTCAGGCAGGTCCTTCTATGTACAGTAATGGCTCAGGAGTTTTCCATTCCTCCCAGACCCTTGAGCTTTCTCAGGGACAACTGGTACAAGCTCAGCTGAGACTTCTCCTAGAGAGGAAAAGCCTTGCTTCTGAGGGACAAAAGCCTGTGAAACAGGCAGGAGAAGTCTGGTCCCAAAGTATCCCCAGTCTTCAAGAGCAGGGAGCACCCTTGGCTCAGAGGGGCTGGGTCGTGTGATTATAGACCAGGTGTTCTGTGTCTTCAGTGGTGGAGACAGTGGAGCTAGCGGGCGTGGGTGGTGGGTGGCGGTGGTGTCTTTGGAAGGCCTTTCTCTGGTCCTTGAAGAAGCAGTAACCCAGGATGGCTACCACCCCTATGATGCAGGTGACCAGGAGTATAGCAATGGTTATTTCCATTGAGCCTGGGGGCAGAAGGGGCAGAATGAGGGCTCCTAAGGCCTGCCTGGTTCTGATAACCACCCCAACTCTAGAGGAGGGACCAAGGTGAACAGATGCCAAGCGTGGAAGCACATGGGCACCCAGCTCAGACCTCCAGCACACCAGTAGCATAAAGGCTGCCCCATGAGCCCAGAGGGAAGGTGGGTCTCAGATCTGGGTCCAAGTTGTTCTGCTTCAAGGGGCCTCAGGCAAAGCCTGAGACTCTGCAGGGAGACACCTGGCACAAACTTTGCTCTACTTCCATTCCTCGGTATTTCATCATGGCATGCTGTCCCTATGGGGAACCTCAGGGTCCCTCTTAACATGGCTCAGGCAGCCACAGCCAGTCCCATGGAGTATACATCCACCTCAGCAGCAGGGCAGACCAAACCTTACCTAGGCTGGGAATGGAGCTCTCTCGCCGAAGCCCAAAAACATCCTTCTCTGCAAAATGATGGAGGGGAGAGACAGTTGGCTCTAAGGGCTGAGGTTTGGCTGCTCCTGTGCCCCAGCCCCTCTGCACCATCCTCTCTCACGACCAATGCAGGCACTCACGATGAAGGGGTGACCACCCAGATTGGCACAAAGCAGGCCTTCCCTCCACACACCCCAGCCCGCCACCAGGCTCACTGGAGATGCCACGACACGACTCCAGACACTGTTGCTCTTCCCCAAAGTTGTTCTTGTTGCCATAACAACCACCATAGGTAAATCGGGCACAGCGTTCACTGAAGGGGTTGTAGTACCAGCGCGGGATGTTCTCCTGGCAGACCCCAGTGTCTGGCAGGTCTACACAGTGCCCTGCAGTAGGGACAAGCAAAGGGGTGAGTGCGCCCCCAGAGCCTTCAGACCCACCTGGCTGCTGCCCCACCCCCTTCAAGGGCCTGGGGACCCAGAAACACTCCCCCCTTATGCTACAAAGACAAATCCAGGACACTAACATAGGCACAAAAGGAAACTTCACAGACTCACGTGTTTATTCCTCCTTCAATTGGTTTTACCTTTTCTCTCTGTGTTAAGATCTGTTTTCTATCACTGAGTAATTGACAGATTTTTATTTTGTTTTTTGAGACAGGAACATGCTATGTAGTTTAAGCTGGCCTTGAACTCAGAAGCAATTTTCCTGCCTCAGCCTTCCTATATAGTCCAGGCTGGCCTTGAACTCACTATGTAGCCCAGGCTGGCCTCAAACTTGCAGTGATCCTCCTGCTTCAGCCTCAAGAGGACTAGGATTACAGGCATGTGTCACCACGCCCAGCTCACAGTTTAAACAACAATGATGGGCCTCAGGGACTGAGTCTGAGCCTAGCCGCTAAAATGTGCAGCTAAAATTTATTAACAGTGTTTTATTATATTTATTTTTATAATTAGTTTCAACTTGTGGCAAGTCACAGCAATTTTCCACTTATAGCACTGGCCCGGCGTGGTGAAGCTCTGTCTCAAAAAACCAAACCAAGGGGCCAGGGATTTAGCTCAGTGGTTCCAGTGCCTGCCTCGAAAGCACAAGGTCCCAAGTTTGATCTCCAGTGCCAAAAAACAGCAACAACAACAACAACAACAAAAAACCCAAACCAAAACAAACAACCCCAAAACCATTTATGGGACTGATGTGAAATTTCCTTTTCAGCACATTAAGTTAAAAAGTGATTACACAGGGCCGGGGATTTAGCTCAGTAGCACTGCACCTGCCTCGCAAGCACAAGGTCCTGAGTTCGATCTCTGGTACCAAAAAAAAGTGATAACACAATTTGCAGTGGGCAAAGCAATAGTCTTGAAGTTGTCCAGCTGACTAGTGATGTTTGGGAAACAGAGCCACAGAAGGCAGCTGGGGAGCCCCTCCCCTGTGTCAGCAGACTGGCACGGAGGTCCTTTGGGCAATGCCAGCACGAATCCTGGCCCAGGGGGCTCGGGGAGGGCCTCACCTTTGTTACTGGGGAAATGGATATTCTGGAGCTCGTCAAAGCCAGTGCTATCTGCAGAGATGAAAGGTCAGGGGTTGAACCAATAGGGGTCTCTCCAGGGTTCCTGTGTCGGGCCCTCCCCTTGTATTACCCACCCTTTCTCCAACCCCAGGCCTCACATTTTTCACAGGTAGCCTCATCGGAGCCGTTAGGGCAGTCTGGGGTGTCATCACATTCCAGGAAGCTGTCGATGCAGCAGCCATCACTGCAGCGGAACTGAGTGGGCTGGCAGCTGCCAGAGCACACTGGGAAGGGGCGGGATGGTAGGGGATGAGCTTGGGCTTGGGCACAGAGACAGTGCCAAGGGACCGTGGTCTACTTGGGCCTCTCCACCACCCTGGCTTCTCCTCCGTGTATTCTTCTTTTTTTTGGTACCGGGGATCAAACTCAGGACCTTGTGCTTTTGAGGCAGGCACGGCACCACTGAGCTAAATCCCCAGCCCTCTTCCTCCATGTAGACTGAGCACATCTGATGGGAAGGTACTGGGTTGGTAGGGGTGGTGTCTTTGCAGTGAGGAAAGGGCAGAGACAGGCTGGTAGGGGCCAAGCAAAGTGAAAGAGGGAGGAGGAAGCCCACCTGGATGCTGCCTTTCCACCGAGGGACCTGGGGAGAAAGAAAAAGAAGTGAGGGCAGGTGTGGCCAGGCTCTGCAGGGATGAGAAACGGGAAGGAATGGGGACTGCCCAACCACCTCCCTGCCCAGTGAGGAGACATCCGTCCTGGGGAGTCATCTGAGCCCAGGCTGCCCCTCAAAGCCCACCTTGCACATCCTGGCAGGCCAGCATGCACTCCTTCTCCCAAAGGTAGTTGTTCTTGTTACCCAAGCAACCTCCATAAATGAACCGCTTGCAGATCTGTTCTTTGGGCTCATAGTACCAGCGAGGGAAGGCGCCCCGGCAGCGGCCCACTTTGCTGGAGGCCAGACAGTAGTCTAGAAGGGACAGAGCGGGTGAGGGACTGCAGAGCTGCAGTGGGGAAGGGAGGTTGGGAGCACCAGGGGCCACCTGCCCTCCCCGCACCTTCTGTCTGCTTGGCGGACAGCACAGTGACCGTGACGTTCGCTGTGCTCTGGGGATCGTCTGAGCCGGCTGCTGTCAGCTGGAACAGGTAGGTGCCTTCCTTGAGTCCCCACAGCTCCACCTGGTCTGGTTCCTTCCTCTACACACAGGACCGGCCATTAGGCTGGGCAGCCTCCATGCCCTGGGCCGCCCCAGCCACACTCATCACACTCATCTGCTCTCCACCCCACCTACCCGGAGCGGAGGGGAAGGGCCCCAGCCAGCGTCTCACCTCTATGCTGAGGCCGGAGTCACCCTGAAGGAGGTGCCAGTCTGTGTTGCCCACATCCTTCAGCACCAGGGGCTCCTGGGGTTGTACCTTCAGGTCTATGCCCACCCAGGCCCTGGGGATCTGGGTCCCTGGGGAAGGTAAGGGAAGTGAGCTCTCACTGAATGGACTAAGTCTCTGTTGGGAAAGAAGTGGAGTGGAGGCAGCACGAACCTCACCTGGGAGCCAGGCGAGGTGGTGCATGCCTGTAATCCCAGCACGTGGGAGGCTGAGGCAGGAGGACTGCCAAATTCAAGCCCAGCCTTGGCAATTTAGTGACTTAGCAAAACTCTGTCTCAAAATACAAAATAAAGGGTCAGGGATTTAGCTCAGCGGCACTGTGCCTGCCTTGAAAGCGCAAGGTCCTGAGTTCGATCCCTGGTACCAGAAAAAAATAAATAAATAAAAAACGCCTGAGGGTTGTTGCTCAGTGCAAAGACCCTGGGTTTGCTGAAAAAAAAAAAAAGTTAAAGTAAATTGGGCATGGTGTCACATGCTTATAATCCCACCTACTCAGGAGGCTGAGGCAGACAGCTTCAGCAGGAAGATCCCAAGTTCCAGGCCAGACTGGACAACCCAGTGAGACCCTGTTTCCACATAAAAAGTAAGAAGGGCTGGTGATGTAGCTCTGTGATAGATGAACCCTGAGTTCAATCACCAGTACCCCCAAAAAAGTTAAAAGTGATGATTTAAAATCTAAATAAGGAAATCTGTGATTGAAACTCCCTGCACTCCCTCTGCTGGGCCATATCACCCAGAGAAGCCCACCGGGAAGAGGCGGTGGCAGTGGGAACTGGGTGCCTCTGGCTCCTCAGACAGACCCCGCCTCTAGCTGCTGGGAGTTGCATCCTCCCTTAACCTGACGGCCTGTGCCATGCTGTCCCAGCTCAGGGTGAGGGATGGGGTAGGGAAACCGCACAAAGCAGGACTCTTGTCTGTAGCAGGTTGAATGGTGGGCCCCCAAAAGTTGTATCCATGGCAAGGCCCTGGAACCCGTGAATGTGACCTTATTTGGAAAGTCTTTACAGAAGTAATTAAGTAAAGGACTTCCAGATGAGATAAGCCTGGATTAGCTGGGTAGGTCCTAAATCCAATGACAAGTGTCCTTATAAAAACAGAATGACAGAGTGAAAGAAGAGACTGTGGGGAAAGGCAGAGACCCAGGGATGCGGCCATAAGCCAGGGACACCAGAAGTAGGAAGAGGCAGGAAGGGTTTCATTCCTGGAGTCCTGGGGGTAGTGTGTCCTTGGTAACACCTTGACATTGCACTCTGGCCTCCAGAACTCCCAGAACTGTGAGAACACATTTCAGTTTTTACTAATCTGTTACCGGAGCCCTAGGAAATTAATATAGTGCTTGGCAGGGACTACAGTCCAGGGATCAGAAAAGATCTAACAACAGGAAGCTGGGTGTGTACAAGACAAGACAGTGGACACTGCATGAAGGCCACCACAGGCTAGGGAAAGAAGGATTTCTAGAGAAGAAAGAACTTTTTTTTTTTTTGGCAGTACTGGCAACTGAACCTAGGGCCTTCACAGGGAACTATATCCTCAGCCCTTTCTATTTTGAGATAAGGTCTTACTAAGTTACTAAATTGCCCAGGCTGGGCTTGAATTTGCAATCCTCCTGCCTCAACCTCCCAGAGTGCTGAGATAATACATGTGCACCACCACACTCAGGAAGAATTTAAGATAATTTTGTTTTTGCTGGGTTGGCAGTGAAGAATATGGGATGCAGCTTATGACAACAGAAAACATGCAAAACCAAAGCAAGCAGTTAGATTTGTGAGGCTAGTTAGATCGACAGTAAGGAGACCAGTCAGGCTGGGACAAATCTCCAAGTGCCCTAGCTGCCAGGCCAGGGCGTTTGGACAAAGCAGGAGCAACATTGGGATATTAAATGACTAGTGGTACAGAGGGATAGACACTGGTTGCAAGTACAGGAACAGAATCCTGGAGACCTGGCTCAGCAGACAGTGAATTCCAAGATGCAGACCCAGGTCCACACAGCCTAGTGGATGGCCCAGGGCTGCAAGTGGGGAGTTCCTGCTTGGGCAGCAGCTGTTCCACTTCTGTTTGGAAGGGTTTCTGTGCACGAGGCTGGCCAGGGCAGCGGTTCAGGGCATTTGCAACAGGAGGGCTTGGACTCATAGGGCATCCAGGAAATGGAAAGGAAGGGGGAAGGGAGAGATGGTGGCAGGCACGTGGCTCTGGCCTCTTAGGACTGGGGAGGAAGAACTCACTTCCTGCACAGGTGGAAGGGAAACCAGATTTAGAGGGAAGGTGTGGGTTCCCCCATAGAGAAGCTGGATTTGAGACAATAAAGATCCCTATCTGTATAAAGTCTGGCATACCATGGCCTGTGCACTGAATCTGGGTTTTTGGGGGTTTTTTTTTGGTACCAGGGATGGAACTTGGGACCTTGCGCTTGCAAGGCAGGCACTGGAACCACTGAGCTAAATACCCAGTCCTCTGTTATGTTTTTAAGTGGATGAAGGAATAATCTTTTGTGACATGTTAAAAATATATATGTTGGGCTGGGGATTTAGCTCAGGGGTTCTGGCGCTTGCCTCGAAAGCACCAGGCCCCGAGTTCAATCCCTGGTACCAATAAATAAATAAATAAATAAATAAATAATGTGTGTGTGTGTGTTTGTATGGGTGTGTAAAAGTCTACAGGGCTGCAATATGGCTCAGTGTTAGAACAGTCACCTAGCACATATAAGGCTCTGGTTAAAAAAAAAAAAGAGAGACACCTGCAAGCAGGAACACAGCCTGGCCCCTGTCTGCGGCCACTTCCATATTACCACAGTAGAGCAGTTGTGACAGAGACCTGTATCAGATGAAGCCTGAAATACTTACTACCTAGATGTCTACAGCAAGTTTGCTGACTACTGGTCCCCACCACCAACTTGTATAGCCACCCACCATACCTATGTCCTTACCCTGGTTTCAGATGAGAAAACTGACACCTGACAGGTTAAACAAGTTGCCCAGGATCATGGCTGCATTTCTAAACAGTGCATCTGGGATTTGAACCCCGGTCTTTGTGACTTCATTGCTTGTGCTTGATCCAAAACATCATGCTACAGGTCACCACCTGCTCAGAGGTGTGGTTTTAATTGCTTTTATCATCTTGCTTTGTTTTTTTAAGCTTATGCAATACATGTACATAATAAAGTCCCCCTTTTTTCCTTTTTTTTTTTTGGATCGAGCTCAGGTCCTTGTGTTTTTGGGGGCAGGCGGCAGCACGACTGAGCTAAATCCCCAGCCCTTCTTCCTTTTTTTTTTGAGATGAGGTCTCACTGTGTAGTCCATACCAGCCTTGATCTCACTATGTAGCCCAGGCTGGCCTCGAATTGTTCTTTACCACAAAAGCATCCACTTTTACCACTTTGTATGTGTATGTGTGTGAGTGTGAATATCAAGATAGAATTTGACACAGCACCTGCCTGGCAATCTCAAGCTCCTGAGTTTGATCCTCATACCAAAATAAAATAGAATAAAATGCAGTCACAGCCGTGCATGGGAGGCTGAGGCAGGAGGATTGCCATGAGTTTGAGGCCAGCCTGGGCCACACAGTAAGTTCAAGGCCAGCCTGATCTACATAGCAAGACCCTGTTTCAAAAAAACCAAAATAAATAAATAAAATAAAATGCAGTCACATCAACGAAGTCCTAACGGCACCATCTATAGCTCACGGATGAATTCTCATCACTCTGATAAGCTCTGTATCAGTGGTTTTCAACCTGTGTTGGTGATATATGCAAATAAATTAGAATGAACTCAGGGGTATTATTTCCAAAAAAAAAAAAGATAGAATTTGAGCTGGGCATACTGGTGCATGCCTGTAATCCCAGCACTCTGGAAGACTGAGGCAGGAAGATCTGAAGTTCAAGGCCAGCCTGGGCAATTTAAGGAGACCCTCTCTCAAAACAAACAATAAAAAGGGTGGGGGATGCAGCTCAGTGGTAAAGTGCCCCTGGGCTCAATGCCCAGTACCTACCCCCACAAAGATAGTATCTGAATTCATAGCTTTCCTTCCTCAACTAGGCCACCTTAGTTATCGGTATTAAAACACCAAACAGTGTTCACTAGGGGATGTGCCGCCATACACGGAGATGGTTTCCAAGCCTTCATTACCATAAACAACACTCCAGTGAATAAGTTCTTGTACACACGTGTGAGCTAAGTCTTGAGATGAATTCAGACAAGTGGAACATGTGTCAAGGATGACATTCTTAAAGTTGTGGCCAAAGAGCAGAGGGTTCAAGTGTATGAGTGTGAAGTGTGGTAAAGCGATCAGGACAGCTGGTAGAAGGCTGAGTCACAGGATGAGGTGGAGAAAGCAGAGCCCGTGGGGGACTCTGGGGGGACTTGTGTAGGTGGTCACAGAGATGAGAAGACCAGGACACATGGTGACTGAGAAAGGCAGTTCCAGAAGGCAGAGGTTTCTCAGGGAAGTGTGTGAAAGGGCCTGGGGACCTACAAACAGAGAGAAGGGAAACTGCTTGGCTAGGATTCAGGGCAAAGGCGGGGAGAGCAGGAGGAGAGGACAGTGGGCTGTTTAGCAGCAACCCCAGCCCAGGGCCTTGGCCTGCAATCAGGAGAGTACCCCACGAGGCAAGCCAAGGGGGCAGAGCTGGGAGGGATTCCTCCTTCCTTGCATTTTGCAGAAAACCAGCTTCTCAAGAGGGGAAAGCAGACAGACAGAGCAGCACCTCCACCCTCACCTCTGCCCCCAGGTAGAAGGGCAGGCAGTGACACACCAGACCTGGGGCTCAATCAGGAATGTCCCTTCCTCTCAGCTCTGTCCTCATCAAGCCTCCGGCCCCAGGACCAGGGGGCAGATACCCTGCCCTGCCACTCCCAAAAGAGCAAAGGGCTAGAATGGCAATAAAACTTCCCAGCTGCCAGGCCTCAGGACATCTTTGCACTGGGTCATCGTAGCCCTCTGGGAGGGAGGGGGTTGGGGACAGAAGGGCCCAGCAACTCGGCCTCAGTTCCAGGCTTCTGGACCAGCGTGGCCCAGCCTCAGGCTGGGAAGATGAAACAAAGCAAAGCACCCTCAGGAGGGTTTCTCTATCCAACACAAGGATCAAAGAACCACACACTACCTGGTCTGCTTTCATCCCCAGCCTCTGCCTTACCAGCTGACAGTGGAGACCTGACTCTCACAGCTTCCTCCCCTTCCTAAAGCCCTGGAGCACCCCAAGGGCCTAGAATGGCCTGGGGCTCAGTCAAAGCCCCACCCAACTGCTCAAAGGCCCCAGGAAATCCCCAAGCCACCTATCCTGTGCCAAAAGCCAGTTCTGGTGGTTTACAGATGAGGCAAGTGGCCCCTATCCAGCTTAGCTCCCAGGCCACGCTCCAGTTTCAGGCTCTGGCCCTGCAGGACTCCCATGGGACCTCTGTCAGTGCAAGAAGGGCACCTGGTAGCAGTCACTGTCACTTGGTGTCATCACCACCTACTTATCTGGTGCTTCCTTGTGGAATAGGCTCCAGCCCAGGGCTAGTGGGGCTCCATGGCCCAGCCTAGACCTCAGATGGCATCCCTCCTTCCCAGAATCCCCCTCCTTCCTCTCCTCAGAGACCCAGGAGAGCTACTGGAAGGCTGGAGAGCAGAGAGAATCCTTATCCTGGGAAACAATATCCCAGGGAAAGGCTAGAGAGGAAAGTCCCTTCTCCACTTTCCAAACTAGACCACCTCAGACTGCCCCAGCCAGTCTGGTCCCTTGTTTTAATTTCTGGTATCTGCTGGTCACAGACTAGGTGTCTCCTGGAAAGGTGATCTCCTGTGAAAGAGATCACTGGACTTTTGGAGCCCCTCTCCCCAAGTGGGGTGAATCCTAGGGTTACCATTTGACAGCAGTGTTATCCTGGGCAGATTATTTAAATGAGAGGTCAGTTTTCTAATCTAAAAAGCAGATGACTGCCAACAGTACCCTTTTCAGAGACTGTTTTCTTTCTTTCTTTCTTTTTTTTTGGTACCGGGGATCGAACTCAGGTCCTTTCAATTGTGAGGCAGGTGGTGGAAGCACTGAGCTAAATCCCCAGCCCTTTTTCAGAGACTGTTGACCTGAGGCCTGGCAGGATGTGTGATACAGTCATCAGTGAACTGTACGGGGCTAGCAGAGGTTACCAGCTGTGACCTGCTCCGGCCCTGGTGCTCCTCTGGCCAAAACACCAGGAGAGAGAATGGGGAGGAAAAGCTGACCAGCCCTGATCCTAGCTGCCTGGGATTTCCTCCTAATGCTAGGAGGAAAGGGAAGGTGCCCTGGCCTCCACTTTCCCTTATGCCTGGAAGTAAACAGGAGAGCAGACTCTTCAGTTACCAGACCCTAGGTAGGGAGAGCCCTGTCTGCTGTCTGGCTCATGTGCATGAGCACACACACCTGCCTGGACAGGTGACATCCCTCCCCTAGCAGGTACACATACCAGCAGGCTGACTCACACAGCAGCCTTCTTCTTCACCCCCCCCACCCCCCCAGCCTCTGGCTACTGTGCCCACAATGTCATGGCCCATCTTGGGTCAACCCCAGACTAGACCTGGTCTTCAGTCTCTGCCATCTGGCTGTTTTTCAGAGACCACCAACACACCAATCTGTTCCCAGGACAGAGGAATGCTCAGCAGGCCTTTGTCCAGCCAATGGAAGAGACTACAGCCAGGCCCACCTGCCCAAGCCTCAAGGTACCTACAAAAGTGCGTGGCTGGTGCCTTTCTGGTCACCAGGCTGCATCCAGACAGCTCACTGTATGACTCAGCCTAACAGGGCCAGAGGTGGGAATCTGGGGAGATGCTTCCTCTCTCCCACACAGCAGCCCAGAGCCTCTGCACATCCTGAATCAGGAGCCAGAGTCTCTCAGATGTGCCCCTCCCTCATTACATGCCCGCTGTTCACTGTTTATACTGCCTACTTCTGAAGAGTCAGGATAGAACTGGACTTTCCTCCCTCACTTTGTGTGTGCGCGTGCACGCGTGTGTGTGTGTGTGTGTGTGTATGTGTGTTTGCCCACCAGGGAATAGGAGCTGAATCCAAGGCCTTCACATCAAGCTACATCCCCAGCCCTTTTTTATTTTGAGACAGGGTCTCTCTGGCTAAATCACAAATTGCCCAGTCTGGGTTCAAATTTTCAATCCTCCTGCCTCAGCTTCCCAGAATACTGGGATTACAGGCGTGTGCTACCACAACTGGGTTCTAACTTCTCTCCGATGGTCCCCTCTCTCAGAGACCCCATCACCAACCAGCCCCCTTTTCGATACTCTCCCGCTCTATCCAGGATGGCACCCTCCTCCATACCTCCGAAGGCCTGTTTCTGCAGCTCTCTGTAGGAGCGGTAAACCTCCTTCGTGAGGTAGTTGCTGAAGCCGTCCCTGCGGGCAAACTTGCACACAAAGTTCTGCTCGTACAGGCAGTTCATGAGGAAGCAGGAGGAGATAGAGTCCTCCCCGCGGTCGGGCTGCAGTTCCACCAGCGCCAGGTTGCAGTTCTGGGTGGTGCAGCAGGCGCGCACGCAGTTCCTGCCCCGCTGCACCTCGGGGGAGCCCAGGAAGGTGGCCCCGTTGCTGACCGAGGCCTCGGTGTCCAGCACGAAATCAGGGACCCCGCTGGTGAAGCCGGCCAGGCAGGAGTCTCCAGTGGGCAGCTCAGGGGGCGCAGGCGGCAACCCGGCCTCGGCGCCCCAGAGCCCGAGGGCGCACAGAAGCCACACCGTACGGGCGCCGGCCATCATCCTCCCGGGTGCCGCCGCCCTTCTCCCAGGGGAGTGCAGGGCTCTGGGTTCTGAGGGTACCTGGGACCTGCGGGTGGGAACAGGAGAAGACACACCTGATCTGCCCAGAAGACCTCGAGCGAGGCGCGCCGGCCGGGCGGGCAGCAGCCCCTAACAGAGACCCGGCTCTCCACGGGTCCCGGGGCCCCGACCGACTGGCTCTTGGGGCGCCGGGGCCCACGTACCCGGACACATGCGGGGGCGCGGAGCGCACAGCCAAACATGCTGGGAGTGCTGCGCCGCCGCCTCCGCCTCGCGCGCGGGCCAGGGTTACCTGCGCAGGTAAGCGGGAGGGGCTGGGCCTGTGGAGGATCCGGGCCCCGCTTCCTGCGCGGCTTGGGGCGCGGCTTCTGCCCAGGTGCCGGTGCGCCTGCGATCGGCTACTTCCTCCCCCTAGTTTCTGGTGAAACTGAGTCAGTGAGGCCGAGCTCTAAACCTCCGCGCCGCCGGCCCCGCCCAGCCCGCTGCGCCCCTGTCGCCCTGCCCAGCCCAACTTCCGGCCAGGCCGCCGCACCGGCCCACGACGCGGGACCGCGGGACCGCACCGCAGCACCTGTGGGTCCGAGCGCCCGGAGGCCCGGGGCGCCAGGCCCCGTCACTCCCCTCGAGGCGGCTCCATGCGCCCCCTAGGGATCTGGTCTCCCCAGGGCCCCTGTGCCCCAGAATGGCATCCTGAACCCCGAAGGCGGGGACAAGGGCGGGACTGCAGTGAAGTCGCCCAGGTCGGGCGCTCTAGGACCGCAGTCTCCAGTTTCCCTTTCCGGTCAGAGACAGCTTTCCCAGACCCAGGCCTGCTGCGCTTGGAAGGCGAACGAGGGGATGTGGGGTCAGGGTGATGCAAGCGACCTTGCTATCGTTAGCCAAACTTGGGGACATCCTTTCCATTTCTTGGGAGCAAGACAACCCAGAAGCTGAGGGGCTACGCCTGTGAGGGATGCCGCCTCAGTGTCACTGTCAATGCCAGCCCAGGACAGCCCTCTTTCTACCAGAGTCCCCTCCTCTAGGCTTTCCTCCACCCACAGAAGTTCCCTTTTGTTTGAGGCCTTCCCTCATCATGTGTGTCTCCTACCCCTCCTTGCAAAGTTGCCCCCATTCCTGGTGCCCAGGTTCCTCTCCCCACAAAGGGGCTGCTCCTGCTCCGGAGCTGACCACCCTCTACCACTCAAGCGTCCTCCTGGGAGGCTTGGAGGTTCCAGCTCACCGAAGTAACCAAGTCAGTGCCCTGCACAAAACCGTGGACTCCTTGAAACCAAGCCCACTGCCTTTCTAAAGTGAAAAATTTAAGAGCCACTCTACACAACAGGATTAGTCTCTCCCTGCAGTAAAGCGGTTCCCACATGTCCTGATCTCTTAATCCCTGACCCTGGGAACGTTCTTCCCCATTTCCCACCCATAGTAGCTGTCAGCTCCCCTCATTATGGGTGTAGGGGGAAATGGGACACGCCTCCCCTTCATTAGTTTCCTGGGGCAGTCCATGGCCCCTGGCATCATGGAAGCCACAATCATATGTGGGAAAGAAGCAAATGATTGTGCAGTTGCTGGGAAGCCAAGTCTTTGTAGTGATTTGATTCCTGCCTTCCCCCATAGTCTACAATAGAATCCCAAGATTCAAGATTTTGCAAGAACCTTAATACAGGAGAATATTGTCTGCTGGCTTCCATATAAGACAACAAGTAATCCAAATAAGCGAAAATAATCCAAACAAGGGAAATAAAACTTTTTAACCTGCTAGATATCTGCAGTGCAAGTTTGTGTTTTCTAAAATCGAGAAACAACAGAAGTTAAGAAGAAGGAATATTTATTGAGGGAGAAGCAGCTCCTGCCTGACAGGGACAGGAGGAGACACCCACAAAGTTGCCAGGCTTGCCCAGGACCCCATTTCACAGGGGGCTTTTTTTTTTTGGTACTGGGGATTGAACTTGGGATCTTGTGCTTGCGAGGCAGGTGGCGGAACCACTGAGGTAAATGGAGCAAAGTCTCGAGGTGAGGTGGGTAGAAAAGTGGGACAAAACTATAGGCAACTAATAAGATCTAATAGAAATTCACAAGGTGGGCATGAGGTGGGACAAAACCATGATCAACCAATAAGATTACAAATTCAGTCACCCAGATAGTATTGATTAAATGGGGATCAAATGGGAAAACAAGTCACAGTAACAAGCATACATAGTGAACAAGGAATTTCTGAAAAGAAAATGGGTTAGGGAGATTTTAGTCTCCACTTAAGATCCTATTTAGAATATCAATCACTGCTATTTATCTCTAGGGAAGTAGGTAAGTGTAGTACTTTTTCCGTTTTTTTTTTTTTTGGTATGGAGATCGAACTGAGAACTTCAAACTAGCTAGGCAGGTGCTGTGCCGCTGAGCTTAATCCCAGGCCCTACTTTCTTCTTCTTTTTTTTTTGTACTGGGGATCAGACTCAGGACCTTGCGCTTGCAAGGCAGGTGGCACCACTGAGTTAAATCCTGGTCTTACTTCTTCCTTTTTTATGATGCTGATCTTCAGTGAATGTATCTCAATTGTCTTTTGACTCCTCCCTAGCCCTAACTACCTACAATATATCTAATTAATTTAGTGATCTACAGTTGTTATATTATCAGAGGTTTATCCTTGTTATGTACACCATTACAAAAACCTACATTTGCTGCTCATGGTGGCACACACTTGTAATCCCAGCACTGGGCAGGAGGATCACAAGTTTGAGCCTAGTCTGGGCAACTTAGTGAGACCCTATCTCAAAATGAAAAAATAAAGGGTTGTGGATGTAGCTTGATGCTGGTTCAATCCCTAGTACTGGAAAACGAAAACCAAAAACTGCCAGGCATGGTGGCGCACACCTGCAATCCCGGCACTGAGGAGGCCAGGCAAGAAGATTGCCACAAGTCTGAGGCCTACTTGAACTACATAGTGAGTTCAAGGCCAGCCTGAACTACATAACAAGACCCTGTCTCAAAAGAAAAACAGGCCTGGGGATTTAGCTCAGTGGCACCCCACCTGCCTTGCAAGTGCAAGGTCCTGAGTTCGATCCCTGGTACCAAAAAAAAAAGACAAACAATATTTATCAGGTACTGAGAATGGCCAAACCATGTTCATATGGATATCCCACACATCACCCAAAATAAGCAATTGAACCAAGAAGGAGGGACTAGTTGTTTTTTTTTTTTTTTTAGGGACTAGTTTTTATCCTAACCCTACAGATGGCCCTGTAGGCCATGCAGCAGGTAAATGCTGTGGGGATTGCAGCCCAGGTATGCCAACTTCTTTGCCTTGGCACCTGAACACTGGGCTTTATGGTTCTTGGAATTCTGACTTCACCTAGAAGTTCCACGCACTCCTCAAATTCAATTTGCTTGAAACAAAAGCTTATTTTCCAGTGGCGAGCAGCACTGCGTGTGATGTCTGCCACTACAGTTTGAAGATAGTTTGACTCATGTTGAATTATTTTCCCCTTTGGCACTGGGGTTAAACCCAGGCCTTTTGCATTGAGCTACATCCCCAGCTCTTTTTTTATTTCTTATTTTGAGACAAGGCCTTGCTAAGTCACCATACTGCCCAGGCTGGGCTAGAACTTGCAGCCCTTCTGCCTCAGCCTCCCAGAGCACTGGGAATAATCATGGCAGTGGGCACAGCCCAGTACTGCCAAGCTGATGTTGAAATGTGATTGCCCGGGTGGCTGAGTTGGGAGGTGGGGCCCTGGAGAGGGGATTAGGTCATTAAGAAGGATTAATGCCTTTCTCCTGGCCCAGATTGATTCTAGAAGGACTGGCCTGGTTGCCATGGGAGCCAGTGTTACCAGGTGCGCCACCCCTCCCGCATTGCCTCTTCTGCCCACCTCCGCTTGCCCTTCCACTTTTTGGCCATTGTTATGACAATGCGTGAGACCTTCCCCAGATTCGGATGTCAAATCTTGGACTTCTTTGTTTTTGTTTGGTACAAGGTCTTGCTATGTAGTCTAGGCCAGCCTTGAACTCACTATGTAGCCCAGGCTGACCTCAAACTCACATCTATCCTCCCGCCTCAGCCTCCTGAGTGCTGGGATTACAGGCATGCACCACCATGCCCAGCCAAATTTTATGCTTCCAACTCTGGAACCATAAGGTAAATAAACTTTTTTCCCTTTATAAATTATTTAGTCTGAAGTATTCTGTTAAGTAACAGAAAATGCACTATCACATCTACTCTGTTCCTTCCAGGCTGTTGACAGGTGCAACCAACCACTAGGGCTCAGGGAAGTGTTTGCCCTGTGCAGAGAGGCAGAGAGGCCCTGTAGAGACATGAGAGACAAGGCTGTACTGCATGTGGTCAGGCTCTGGGCTCTGGATCTACACTCCTGTGTTTCACTCTTAGTCTCTTGTATAAGCAGTGGGACTTCACTATTATAAGGATGAAATGAGTTTATGCAAAACATTTGAACTTGTGAATATTCAATATGTTACCTGAAAAAAAAAGTGACAGGATTTTATCCCAAGCCACACTGACATAAAAAAACACATTGTTACTAGACTTGGTGGCACACGCCTGTAATCACAGCACTTAGGAGGCTGAGTCAGGAGGATGGCCAAGAGTTTGAGGACAGCCTGAGACTGAGACCCTATCTAAAAAAACGCATTGTCCGTGGGCAAGGGGGCAAGGTGTGCATGAGGTTGTATGGGTGCCAGCCCTAACCAAGGTGGAGCTGAGGCGGTGGTCTCCAAGGTAAAGAGTATAAGAGACAGGACATCCGAAAGATGCAGGGCCTCAGGTTCTGATGCCGCGCCAACTACTCTGAGGACGACCAGGTGCCCATGCAGCAGGTGCACCAGTGCATCCAGTGCGGCTGCAGACCTCTAGCTCAAGCCCAGGCGTTGGTGACCAATGAGTTGGGAGAGTTCTAGGTCTCTCTGGCCCTATGTACCGTGCATTGTGATCCCAAAGCCAAAGATTCGATGGATGCAGGGAAAGGAGCTTCAGGTGAAACAGCAGTTGTGTGGCCAGGTGTGTGGGTGACCACATGAACCTGATTCCAACTATGGCTAAGAAGATGAGGGGGTCTCTCTCCTCCTCTGGGAAGTAACAGTCACTGCCAGGGGCCATTGGGCTGAGGGCAGGAATCTATTTAAAAAGAATGATGGGAGGGGTCGGGGATTTAGCTCAGTGGTTTCACTGCCTGCTGTGCAAATTCAAGGACCCAAGTTCGATCCCCGGTAAGAAAAATAAAAAATAAATACATAAATAAATAAAAAGAATAGTGGGCCGGGGATGTAGCTCAGTGGCGCTGCGCCTGCCTTTTAAGCACAAGGTCCTGAGTTTGATCCCTGATACCGGAAAAAAAAAAGAAAAATAAATAAAAAGAATGGCAATTTTAGTCTTTTAAGTAAAACTTATGAATAAAGAAACTAAGGATTGTAGCAAGTTTAAGACATTGGACTTGCCTCTGGATCATGATTCCTCTGTTTGGATGGATCCTAGAAAGTGAAATGGAAAAACATTGGTGCTAAATTTGGGTCAAAGATAACATAAGAGAGTGTTTTAGGGCCTCATTTTCACATGGCAGGATTATTGCAGATAGCTAAGTTAGTTAGAAATTATTATAAGGCAGTTTGACAAAGCTGGGCCCTCAGCATAGAAAAAAAATTGAGGCACATTCACTGGTTAGCATTATAAAAAGAGAAAAGGTTGGGCTGGGGATTTAGC